AAACCCAGTACAGTCAGCTCGAATGGAAGTTAATATCGCTCGCGCAATTTCATCTGCGAACGCGCGTCGAATTTTCGCGCKCTTTTGTGCGCAGACGAAATTTTACGCRTYTTGAATTAATTGCCTTCCTTGGTGAATAATTGTACATACGAACTAAATAAACATKTAGACCAAATAACGGCAAAAGAATAATTTTGAATCCCGAKMTATTTCTTGAAGACTTAATTATGGATGTTGTGTTTGCCTCGAGGTCGCTATAATGACCATGAAAGGTAGAACTCTTGCTATAATTATACACRCACTAACTTGAATTCTTCCTGCTTTCACAGAAATCTTCAGTACATTCARAAAGGTGTCGAGACCTTCTACACCATGAAGGGCTATCCAAAACARCTCGAGAAGAAAGTTAAACTGATTAACTACTTCAATAAGTACATGAAAGAACATCTTTTGAAGGTACATTAAAAATATAATAATAGGATAGAAACGTGTTTGCTATCTTGTCCTGTCACAGTAGAGGGTGCCTGCGGAAAACGTGTGGTTTTATCGCGTTTGTTTCTTTGGCTTCAATGGTTTCCTCTAGGTTCTGAAACAGACTTGTTGAGGATGAAACGTTTGCAGCAGAGAAAAAAARTAATAAACTATTCTGATATAGTCTAACTTTTTCCCCCAGGCTGGTGGTACTCCAGGGACAATCCAGGAAGAAGAATCTTCTCGTTTACCTTTCCTTCGAGATTGGTTCAGRAAGGGCGATAACCACATGRTATTACACCTCAATAAYGGCTTGCTTCAGGTGTGTAAATTGATCTCATCGAGTTTAACTACAGACATAYAGTCAACTCTCGCCTTACRGACWCCYCGCTACAACGGACACCTYGATATTGCGGACAGTAAAATACTGAATCCCCGGCGAAAAATACAAAGAAATGACTWAGAGTAACYCCCGATATTACGGACTCTYGCTACTRCGGACACTAAATTACGGTCCCGAGGGTGTCCGTAATAGCGAGAGTTGACTGTATTTCGTTTCTTCATRGCAATTATTGTAATCCTAAAACTTTCTTGTTTCCATTAGATTAACTTCAAAGACCACACAAAAATCTTCCTGTGTCCGTTAATGAAAGCTGTGACCTATATTGACTTGGAGAAGAGAATGCGAACATTCCCTTTTAAGAATCTTGAGAAATATGGCTGCATTACTGATCTCTACGAAAGACTGAGCTTTGCTAAAACTGTTGTTGAAAAAGACTTGCTACCAAAGCTACAAGATGGAGCCAAGGAACCTGTCAGCCGGGAAACTGTGGGAGCACGAAAATAAGCAAAGCCATTTAATTCTTATAATATAAGATTATATTTGACAGGATTATTTAAGACWTTGATTTATAGCAGATATAATTGATTTGTCTTATTGAAGATATTGAATTATTTTAGACTAAAATGATGGATTATAGGGATGGAGAAGGGAGGGGAAGGGCCTGCAACACACAAAATCATATTCCTAATTTCTAGTATACACTTGTAAATGTATCATTTGAGCTTTTCATCGTTGATGGACATCATTTGTCCTTTAGTTGTTAATATATATTCAGTTCTGTTACTYKTTTTGAACAAAACCAATGCACCTTTTGAAAATATAGTGCGCTTTGAAAGTTTTAGACTTTATGAGAAATAATACACGTGYTACTTCTTTGCCCATCGATGGAGTAAGCAAGAGTGATAGAAAACGTGGAGAGAAATGGCGCGAATTTTCTCCAMTGCGGYGTTATCRAAATCTATCATGTATTTGATATTTTTATGCTTATTGTTTTCTTTATAAACGCACARCTAAGCTATAAAATAGTGTACATAACCTTTACAGTGTTTCATAAGTATACAATTCTGTAAAGCTAGGCATATTGTACATTTGAATGATAGAATCAAATAGCTAGTAATGTAAATATATTATGAATGCATGTGAAAATTCTTGAATTATTATTATTATTATACCAAGACAATGCTATTAAATTACATTCTCGTGGAAAAGTCTAGTTTTTTTATATGAATAGTAGAGTTATAGGGAAAATGTTTTGGGGTGGTTTTCAAAAACCTGTGACTGAAATAGTTAAGTGAGTTCGCGACCGTTCACACTCAAAAGTCTTCGTTTCGTTCTCATTGTTCTCCGTTGCTACATAGTTAATATTAACTATGGTTGCTATGAACTTGATGCACATGTAGTATTTTTTTTACGGGCGTTTGAAATTCACTCTAAAGGCTTAGTAAAAACGTTCAAGAACTGACAGTCGGCCATAATGGGAAAAGATTCTCAGAATGGTAGATAGTATAACTTTATTTTAAAATTTCGTGAGTACTGACAGACAAAAAGCAATGCTGAAATTCGCTGAAACGCGTCTTGCTTGTTAATACAACGCTCAGCTGTTTTTAATCTTGGCAAATCATATAATTACATGTAAGAAACAGTGGTTTAACATTTTAGACGCTKTACGATATAAAACTGGAATGCCATTTTGTTGGCGTTGTGAGGCCGAATTTAGGAAATAGTTTTATAGGCTCTCGATTAGCGCGTTTTCATAGGGACAGATCTTGCGTGAACGTGACCTTGGGTTTCCTGTGTATGCATGACTAGACATCACTTTTGTTTGCTAAAAGAAAAACTGTTTCCATCCATCACTGAAGATGTTTTTACAGCAAATTTTCAGGCTTTTATTTYTGCTGAGTATCTCCATTAAGGGGGCTGCAACAGAAAATTTTAAGCCTACCCCCGTTGTCACCCTTAAAAGTGGTAAMATCAAAGGCATTCAGTACGACTTGAACATTGGTGGAACTGTAAGCAAGTATCTTGGCATACCCTTTGCTAAAGCAAAACGGTTTGAGAAACCTACTGATCCAGATTCATGGACAGACATCAAAAACATGATTACCTTTGGAAGCATTTGTCCACARCAGTCTACAAAAGCCGAAGTTATTGACACCATGAGCGAGGATTGYTTRAACTTGAACGTGTTTGTGCCCAAAGGAGCTGGCTCGAACCTCCCTGTGATGGTTTGGATTCACGGTGGGGGGTTTGTGTTCGGCTCTAACAGGCCTTACGATGCTAGCTACATCGCTGGTATAGGAAAGATTATTGTGGTGGCTATCAATTACAGACTAAGTGTCTTRGGGTTCTTGGCTGCGGGAAGAAAMACAGACTTACAAGGAAACTATGGGATGCTTGATCAAGTTCATGCCTTAAAATGGGTCAAGGAAAATATTGCAGCGTGAGTTGAATGATGATTAATAATGATGATGATGATGATGATAACTGATCAATTATTTGAGGTATAAACACCGCTCTAATAAGGATGAATGATGATAATTAATAAAACATTTTAGAAGCACCGCTCTGATTGGGTGATTGCCACTTGTCAAACTGTCAAATCCAGAGGCCCCCTTATTTTAAACAGCGCCATGAGCCCTGAAGCAGGATATCTTTGTCAGAGCTAGAAAACAATACACGTTATTTAATTTACCTTTTTTCACGGTTTCAGTCTTTGCACTCTAGTGATTATTACCATAGAGCGGATTTCGTATGAGTGGGACACCGTTACCGCACGGTTACCGCACAGTTACCGAACCTGGCCTGCACAATTTTGGTGAACCAATGGGGCACTAGAATTTGGTTACAGTACGATTACGGTCACAGTACTGTACCGTCCGTTTCCCACTCATACGAAATCCGCTCTATAGCGTTACGGTCACGGTAAGGTAACAAATGTAGCGTCACACAACAGCTTTTGATTTTCAGTTTTGGTGGTGACCCCGGCAAAGTGACCATATTTGGAGAGTCTGCAGGCGGCGCGAGTGTAAGTCTTCTTCTTCTCTCTCCTTTGACCAAAGGACTTTTTCAAAGAGCCATCATTCAATCTGGGGATGCCAATGCAATTTGGGCATATCGAAAGTACTGTGAACATGCGGTAGCCATTGCCAAGTAAGTAKAAATTGTTCTCTAGGTCACGAGTAAAATCTCTAAGAGCGTCCTACGCGGCTATTTCTTGTATTCTTGGTCACCAGAGTTAGTAGAGGGGACAGTCCCCTCTACTAACTCTGTGGTCACTGAGACCTTTCAAATAGCGTTGACCATGTCCAATCACAAGGATTTACCTCATGGCATAATCAATCGCACGTATATGCAAATATGTGTACTCGGACTTCTCGTTGGAGCTTATGTATCGCTAATCTTCGGTTGTTATTGCTCTATAAGGGCGATAGCTCATGACAGTGGTTGCAAAGAGTTAACGTCTTTGGGTCAATGCCTGAAGRGCAAGAGTGTAGAAGAAGTTTTTCAAGCCAGCAAAAGAGTTTTGGATATTGGTGAAGCTGTGGTCCGACCGGTAGTAGACGGGCACTTTCTTCCTGGTAGGTGCGCTATTCTAAAACTTCCAATGTACTACACTCCATTTTCCCTCTTTTCTTCGTTTTGCTTTATAATATTATTGATTCTTACATCTTTACTTCGTTTTTTCTTGTATCCACTTTTTCCTTAAATCTATTGATTATTCCATCACTGCCATCCACTATTCCTCCATCCGTTCATCCATTCACTAAAACATCGTTCGTTTCTCATTCTTTTACTTCAAGATTCCTTGCTTCGCGCATTTCATTGATAAATGTGTTCTCGACATGAATAGATACTCCGGATGTGTTATTTAACAATGGACAATTCCACGATGTYGATGTTCTAATGGGATTTACTGACGATGAAGGGACAAGTCTTACAGACGCCATACCAGGTATATGACAGACACTTCAAAAACGTTGAATGCTGAAAATACTGCAATGTACATTCCAGTACCGAAATGCATTGTTGGTTGTTGTCGTAGTGCTGATTAAAAAGGAGTTCGCACTGGCATGTTTTGATCAGCTTTGTATGTGGCTATGCCATCTCTTTACTCATGAAGACGGCCTTGAGAAAAAGCGGAAAGAGAATGAAGAAAAAGATCGCATCGATATCGATTTTCCTCTGAGTTTTTAGCATTGGAACTGATTTAATTTGACCTTATATTTGTTGTACAATCTATTAGGGGTTAAAAATCAGTCAGCCACGCCCTTTTGTCAAGACCTCCGGAATCTTTTAGGCCGATTCTTTTTGAAAATTTCTGACGGGCATCCCCGATACTTTTATATACCTCGGGAGTGCCCCCCTCCCTCCACCGGGGACCTTGCAAAGGAAAGTAATTAATAAATTAGAATTAGAATTTGTTGTAACCCTGTTATCCAATTGCAACATCAACAGTGCATCATTTTGGTTTCAGCACATTAACTGTCCAACATTCCAACATATTTGTATCCTGTTCAAACATTATTATTTTTATAGGTATGGAAACGAATATCCATGTAAGAAGAAATGGCATGACAAGATCAGATTTCATCAAAATCATCAATCACAAAGACATCAAATTTGTGCGCGGTCAAAACGCTGTCATCAACGAAGCTATACTTTATCGTTACACCGACTGGGACAACGTCACGGATCCCCGCAGAAATCGTCGCATGTTCATGGATATGGCTGGCGACAGCATGTATGTCGCGCCATCATTAAGATCCGCCAGGTCTATCGCCAATAAAACATCCAATATCTATATGTATGAGCTACAGTATCGTTTAGATACCTTTGAAAACAAGTCTGTGCCTTCGTGGGTTCGAGCTTTCCACGCCTCAGATTTGGCATTTCTTTTTGGTGAGCCACTGTACCGTGCGGCCCTGGCTAATTCGTCTGTGTACACGAAAAATGGGAATTTCAGTGTGAATGTGATAAAAATGTGGACTAACTTTGCTAAATCTGGGTAAGTATTTTAACTCTGTATATTCTTGGGGAAGCATTTTATATATACATTTCTATAAGACGACTATAAAGTCATTCAAAAATGTCTATCCAWAATCCTTTTCGGTCGCGAAATGGTGTGACGAAGCAATAGCCGACTTGCGAATTACGCATCAATAGTCACATACTAAGGAATCAAGACGAGGCGCCGTGCTTTTTTGTGAAAAATCTAWTGTMTTTAGCACGGCGCCTCGTCTTGATTCCTTTGTATGTGACTATTGATGCGTAATTCGCAAGTCGGCTATTCTATCAATACAGAATCAAACTATCATAAAGTTTATGTGAGGCGTACTTCTTGAAATATCTCCTGATTTTTGCTACAGTGATCCCAACAAGCCCGAAGCCATTCCTCTGGCTTGGCCCAAGTTCGATGTGAGTAAAGAGAAGTACATGGCACTAAAACCARCGTTTACCATTCAGGAAAAACCACGAAATGCTTATGTCGCTTTTTGGAATGAATTTGTCCCTGCAGCCCTGAAAGCGATGGGTGTCCSCCCTCACTGTACTGATAGTCCAGTATCCATGGTTACCTCACTCCACTACGGAGGTAATTTTCGAGTGTGTCGTGCATATAGCCGGGCGGGAATTTTTAGATGTGTTACCACTCCCTTTTCCCTTGTGCTCTGCCTGCTCTCTGGATCCCCCATGGAAATAGTTGTGGGCGTTCCCCAACTTAACGTAATTTATCACTGAATTCTAATTAGTTTTCTTTTTTAGGGCCAGTGACACTTTTGTTTGCTCTGCTGTGGCCTGCATTGTACTTGGTTTGGTGATAATCATTTTGACTAGTTATGGCCAGACGCGCTCAATCAGAAGCCCAGTACATTTAGAAAGACAGCTACAATTAGCTTTAAACACTTGCTGTTGGACGTAGATTGGATTTAATATACAATGACAATTTTTAGAATACAAAATTGTATGAATTAGTATACAATTTAATAGCTAAAAATAATTAAGCTGTTGTATTGTAATAAGTACACAACTTCAATGCAAAAGTCTTATATTAGACATAAATATAAATGCGTTGAACTAGAGATACTTTAAGTAAAAGTATATTTTGTTTCAAAGGRAGTCTGATCAATTTTCTTTGTGTGCAAATATATAATCATCCGAAGTTAACACGATGTTTACCCGAAGTTTTTCCGAAAATAAACTTAGCGTGGTTACCAAKCTACTTTGTTTTCTTGTGTWAAGTAAATTGAAGGTCAGACATTTCAGTTTTGAGGTAGGTGCCTAAAATTAAAGTATTGGCGATAAATAACAAGAAATCTATACTTTCAGTACTTTAGAGAATCTTGTAAAGTATTGTTGCTTTCTTATAAACTCAAACAATGCAAATCGGAGGTTTTTTGGCATCACAAACGAAGTCCCCTCGTGTTAATTTGACATAAGAGATTTCGTCATTGCTTGTTTAGAAATTTGAATTTTAAAGAGCTTTTGATAGCCAAGATTGCACCCTATAGCTTATATATGGTGTGTTTAGATTTCCAGAAGATGTGATTTTCAAAGGTTAAGTTTTTAACGTTAGATTTTAAGCTTTATCGAACAAATAAGTATATAACCTACATGTATCACTATTAAACATTATATTTTTTTGAAATAGAGATATTCYACGTTTTCATGGATTTTGATTCAAGCTGGTACGCGTACCAGTGTCATTCTGGYGAAGTACTTTTTCACTATAATTCTGTGACTGGTGAACATAAATGGGCTGTTCATTTTTGCTCGGTAAGTAACTTGGATAATAATCCAATTTTATCTTTATRTGACTGCACATTGCTTCTTTCTTCTTATTAGATGTATTTGTTTAAATATATTCACCTAATCTCATACCCAGAGGCTGTGCTTTTGCAATCCATTAAAAATGAATGCAAAACACGGCCGACTCTCATTTGATTTGCGATTGGTTTAAAATGATGTGCACATGCGTGTGAGTGCTTGTTGGAATGGAAAAGTAATTCAAATTCATTTAATTCCTCCAGAGTCTCTAGGCTTGAGATTGATATTTATCCTTTTATTCATTTCATTCTTCATTCGTTCATCCACCCACTGTTCATCCATCCATTCATTTCCATTCATGCAATCATTCATTCCCAACAATATCATGTACTGTGTCTGTGCATTTAAGGCAGTATTATTTTTTAAGTTCACTAATAAGTTCATTTAAACACTTAATAAACTAAGTACTGAAAGGTAAAAACGTTTTTTTCAATCTTCCCAGTGCCTTAAAGCAAAGTCATCCAAGTCACTATCTGATCCTTGCTGTACCTGGCAACCAGTCAAAGCTAAGTCCAATCAAAGTGGTAAATTTGTAAGAAGTATCGCAACTGAAACTGAAGAAMAATACTTCTCAAATGATTATCATCCAACTTCAACTTCAAACACAAAAAGTGTGGAACTCTTTCACRATAGAGATGAGCSAAGCTTAAATATTCCTTCTGCTGCTGAAAAAAGACAAAATATTTCATACAGAAAACAGACAACTGGAGCTCAAGAGAGCAGCTTGACACCACTTGAACAAGAAGAACCTGTTGAGGTTGTKTTRAATGATCCCTTCCTTCCWGAAGATGAYGAAGCTGTAATTTCCAAACGATTAACTTTGAAGCTGGCAGATTCTTCTAAAAACAACTTTGCGGCCTCAAATTSTGATTCTGAGAACATTAGTAGCTTAGATGTACMAACATCAACAGCTACAAAGGTGTATCCAACMGAATCAAATCCTGGTGCTTTACTAAARGATAACATCTTTGTACATTCTAAAAGAGAACTGCCTTCGTTTTGTGTTGACAGCAAGTTACAATACGTYAAAGGAAACTCTAGTCAGAAACCTTTGAAAAGATTTAAAGTTTCCTCCACATCATCAAGAAAGAATCCAGAGCCTAAAAAGTTAAAAAGAATGCACATCACTAATTATAATGATATTAATGAACATGATATTGTTGAAGAGAATAATGATACAGGCTGGGAAGATGATTTTGAGGAGCAGACTGATGAGAAAGAAGAGGTAAAATAAAGTTTTCTTTCTTTAAAATAATATTATTGTTTTGTCCCCTCCTATGTGGTTTCCTACTAATTACTAAATAATTATTACTAATAATTTTTATTTCTTTAATAGGCTTATTCACAAAGTTCCATGGTCAAAGTTGAACTGGAAAACATTTCATCACCATCTTATGCTGAAGAGGAGAATTCTGAGGAGCCAATATCAACAGTTTGTACTTTATGTGGAAAAGAGTGTAAAACCCCATCAGACCTAACCAACCATATCATGTACCATCAACCTTCTGGCACCAAATGCCCAGTATGCCATAAATATTTCAGCCGTCGACAGGGATTACGGTATCATGTCCAAACACATGCGGGTGATAAGCCTCATGTTTGTAAACTCTGCAACAAGACTTTTACTAAGTCTTCTTCGCTTGTTGCGCATGTCAGGGCACACTCGGGAATAAAACCATTTAAATGTCCTAAGTGCAACAAAGGTTTCACACATTCAAGCAACCTTTCAAGCCATCTAAGAATTCATTCATCTCTTCGTCCATACAGATGTAAGTTCTGTGGAAAGGGCTTCAAAACATCAAGTCACTTATCATTACATCTAAGATGTCATTCAGACGAGCGTCCATACAAGTGTAGTGATTGTGGGAAGGCTTTCAAGAATTCTAGTCACTTGAAGAGCCACAAAAAGCTTCACTCTACAGAGAAAAATGTTATCTGTGAAAGCTGTGATGAAGCTTTTAAAAATTTTGCTCAACTGATGAGTCACCAGAGGATTAGTCCTGAGTGTCATGGAGTTGTACAAAAGCAAAAAGAAAGCAAACATTCTGTAGYTTTCCATTCTTCTACATCTGGACATGTAGATGGACTTATCAATGAGGGAGACCAGTCTGAAGTTGTACATTTAGAGACTCRSATTGATGGTGAACATTCATTTGTGTTACATGATCAACCATTTGTACAAATTGATGAAAACCGGACAGAATTGTCAGATGCTGAACAACAACAGTTTGAAACTCATGAATAAGATTTGATATCTGTTTTTTTTAGTTTTTATCTTGAACCTCACAGCAAAGACAGGGGCCACAACAACACATTGAAACAGAATGTTCAATGTTTTAGAGGCTTAAATTTGTTTTTACAAAACAAAAGACCATTATACATCATTTTTCTTTCAGTCCTCATCTTGAGTTATGGGCTGAATTATGGGACAAACTCAACATTTTTTATGCACGATTGTATGAACTATTTTCTCGAATCATAAAAATGCCTTGATAACTTCTCAAGAGCAATTCAAAATTTCTCATTAAACAAGCAATACACCAATATCACTCCTTTCAATTTCATAGTAACATACTTATTTACTTACGTTCATAAGAGTGATATTGGCACAAGGATCTGTGAAAAAGACCATTTTAAAAAGCAACAGGGCGTTTGCATCGACAACTAATGAGATTTCAATGACAGATTATAAGATACCTGTAAATAATTTAATTTAGATTTTAAAGATGTCTATGATTGCAATCTYGCCAGTTGTTGCAAAGCTACCTTTGAAGCCAATTCAGGAGACCTTTTAAAATGGCTGCTGTATTTGTAGACTGATTCCACCAGTCTGTCTGGTCGTTTTTTTTTTTTCTGCTCCCGGACAGCGCTAGTTGAAGTGAGAATTCAAACCGACGAACGGAAACTACGACTTATGGAATCAGTCAACTCTACTTGGTAATAAAAGTCAGTTTACAGATGGGAATATTTAGTTGTGTATTCATGCACCTTTCATATTATCTATGGGATATTTAATGACTGAACAAATTTAAYCACTAGAAAATTATTGTATTTTCATTCATTTCTGTTCATTTAATTCAAATAAAGAGATTTTGGTCTGGAATTTATGACTATTGATAGTGTGAAAATGGACGTTTGTCCCCAATTTCCCATCCTGTCATTTACCACAGGGTCCCCAATCCTCCAACAATAGGATATCAATGTTGTTGAGTGACAAAATTCTTATAAGAATACATATAACATGAGWATAGTATAAGTATATTATAAGTTCACAATTTTTAATATAAAATGTGGTTATGTTTCAAAACATGGTAAGATTTGTGGCACTATTACTCTCAACATGAAATTTTTCATTTTCTGGGTAGCCTGTGTACACGTAAATCTGTTTCTCACCCCTCCCACAGGCTATTTCTGGGTTTCAGAACAATGACTTATTCCATTTAAAATGAACTAAACCATAGTGTAAAAGTCTGTTTTTCCCAATATCTCTCGACAACATGAACTTTTCATTGAAATGCTTTCTGTAAAAAAATGTTTAAATTCCAGCCAAAACCAGAAGAGTATGCATTGGATTCTAAATCATGCAAAGCTAATGTAATCATGAGTTGATTTTAACAGACATTATTTGGCTWGTTCAAATGTCTCTCCCCAACTACAATGGGAACAAGCCAAATAATGGCTGCAAGAGGAGATTTTGTTCTACTGTAGTTGTTTAATTTCCTATAATCGATTATTGYCCCTATTTTCTTTTAGTTTACAATAACAAATGATCTAAGTTTCAAACATGTCATGCTTGTGAACGTCTGGGTCATGCCATTCAGGTTTGCGTATATATTTGAGAGGTTTGGGTACCTCCCATGGAAAGCCTGCCTTAAAGTGGCCATACAGGCAAGTACTTTGATAGATAGGCTTCTTGAGGTCAAGATCCCTGAAAGATAATTGAAATGAGATATGATAGCATTAATAATAGGGAGGGGTTAGATAATCTAAATGATGTCAATACACAGGAACCCAAGAGGAGCCTTGAGCCTTGTCTTAAAGTCTTTTTGCATGACCATTATTTTGCCAGGGGGCAATTATTGTTAGTAATTAAATCTATGAATGTATAAATAAAATTAAAAAATGTATATTTCTAATGAACAGAATTCCAATTACATTCCAAATTGCATATCTAATTAGTTTGTTAGCCCCAAAAGTTTTGTCTACAAGAATAAAACACTTTTTTATGGTGTTAAATTTATCTTTTTACACAACTGTTTACAAGAAYAAACTCTTTTTTTACCTAATTATAACCCCAGGTCTCAAGTCAAAGTTGTGCTTGATGATCTCTAGTAGTTCATCTTCTGGTCTGTATCCTGTACCATAAGTAAAAACAGAGATTGAAAGAGGYTCAGCAACACCAATGGCATATGACAACTGAACAAGAACACGGTGACAAAGCTTTGCTGCAACAAGAGACTTKGCAATCCATCTGGCGGCATATGCTGCTGACCTATCCACCTAAATAGATAAAAAATATTTACTGGTTGTCAGTCAAACTTTCAGGCTTAAAAGACAAAGATTGGTGACACTTTTGTTGGTATAGTTTTATTATAACAAGAAATGTCTGTTAATGAACTAGCAACATAAAAACAGCAATAATTGCCTTGGCAATTCCCTGTGTCATCTTAAAAGGTGGTTGTGCCTTTGCATCAAAGCAAGAAGACCAGTGAGCTTGCAGTAATTTGCAAATACTTATTATAATACATTTAGAGTTGGTGTAAAACAAGGTTTCTATAGTTACATGAATGCTCATTGGTTTATTTTTCAGGATGACGTCAAGAACTGCAAAGAAGACTATGACATGGATAATGTCTGCAATGCCATACCTTGCTTGGGTCTTTACCAGAGAAGGCACCTCCACCATGAGCTCCCCATCCACCATAAGTATCAACAATGATCTTTCTTCCTGTCAAACCGGCATCACCTTGTGGTCCGCCGATAACAAARGAGCCAGATGGCTGGAGATGATAGACTGTATCTTCATCAAGGTACTTCTTGGGGACTACAGTCTGAAATTCAACGTTTTTTTTCTGTCAATACTTCAAGAATATATCTTGTATGAATGTGACACATGTTCGACACTCTTGAAAAATGCTAGTTTTGGTGTGATTCATCCAGCAACTTGCCTAACAACAGCATTGCAAAACATATTACAGGAAAATTGCACTACATTTGATTGACTTTGTTTTAAGTAGAATAGGCTAGAGCAGTAAGACTCAGTCCTTTATAGTCGGAATATTAAAACACACGTAGAAGGAACAAAACTGAGTATTTATAATGAATCCTACGTACGAAAACATTTTAACGGGATTACATTGTTAGCAAGTTAGTACAAAATCCTGACAGCTTAAAAAATGTTATATTGCACAAAGTTGACCTCAGGTAATTTTTTCTCACTGAATCATTTTGAATAATGCTTGAAARTTTAATTGCTTAGAAAATTACATAATATAATAATCGCTTAGATTAGCATTTACACTGCGGCAATCATTCACTACACATTTA